TTTTTAAACAAAACTTTTTAGTTACGTATATATAGTGAAATTTTATTGTTTTTTCTGTATCGCATTTTTTAGTACAGCAGATGCGGTTTAAAATTAGTGGAGGAATTTTTTTCTTATTTTTGTAAGAAACAAATTAGAAATTTCTGGTAGAATAAAACTACTTCACGATTCTTCAATATGCAAAAACATGTCAAAAACTACGGTGAGCAAATTACTATTAGTAAGTCTTTGATGGTGGCAAAAGTGGCAGTTGGTCTTCGTCTGTTAGTAAAGCTTTACAAACGCTGAGTTAGTGGTTAACCGATTGTTGGTGACGATTACAACTACAAAACTAGAAGACAAAAACAAAATTAGAACTTACTTTTCTGATGACTATTGCAACACGTATCACCATAAATGTTTTATATCGATGATCGTTAGGAACTGATGGAAATCAGTTACTCAGTTATAACTTACAGTTATACAAATATCAGATTTTATGCGGGTCATTTAGATCTGTTACGGTGCAAACTGGTTACCACTTATACGTTTGCATTGTAATGCAGCTGTGAGAATGAAGACTTACGAAATGTAGATAATTTTGATCATCACTTGTTGTAGCGAAATATATTGGTGGAAAAGATGCATTTCAAAATAACAGATATTTCGTTAAACAGTAGTACTTTGAGCAAATGAACAACAAGTAATGAGCAGTATCTTACGATAAATTTATGAAGTTAGCGGTTCTTGGGAAAAAGTGCGAGATAACAGAAAATGTCGTTAAAATGCTCAAAAGCTGTTATTTTATTGTGCAAAAACAAGTCGGAGGAATGCCTTTTTGTTTCTCTAATTTTTTTCTCTTGTTTTTTCTCAGTTTTTAGAATTTTCAACGATATTTTTTTTATTGCTTTAAACACTACTAACGGAGATCGTAAATTTGCAAAAAAAAAAAGTAGCTAAGCAGAAGAGATGTTTCATATTTTATCACATTTTTGGTGCCAAAGCGCAGTACATTTTTTAGGCTACCTTAAGTTCTGCAAATGCTGTAAAAGTTCTCGAAATGTCAGCGTTCAAGATTTGTTTGGTTTCTGTATTGCATTATAAATGCAGAAGCCACATAGTCTGAACTGTCAAACTAAATATAAAGAAAGAAAGCATTAGTCTGCTGAAAGTATTTGATTGCCCAAAAGAAATTACAAATATATAGCTTATTTGACACCGTTGTCTGTCTGGACAGATATGGCTTCTTTCTCAAATACTGCGAGTTTTTCCTGATCATTAGTTTACATGTATTTTTCTTGTCCAATTTCGGCATTTCTACTTCTGAACTTATTACACAGCTGTTATGTTCAGTTGACAATCCATCTAGTCTTGTCATTTTTAAGCTTTATTACCAGCGTAAAGTGTGAGTGAAATATTAACAGATCTATGAATCGTTCGAATAGCTTTAACTTTTTTCTAATATTCAAGAAATTCTAAGTTTTTCTGCTAAGTTTAATGTCATTGAAATAGTATATTTTGGTCGGATTTTGACGGTAAGAGACTTTACAGCTGCTGTCAAACTACCATCCATTCAATCCTGCCTTTTTCTGGCTTTTATGATTTTTTTTTTT